GGGCAGACCATCGCTCTCTGCCAGTGTGTCTGCTCAAGGAGCAGCAGGGAATTGTGGGAGATCATCTGAGAAAATGGAATCTTATATAATAACTGTCTTGTGTCCGCCCGGGGGGATTACAGCTCACTTGTATATTAATAAATATTAATTTGTAATACATCCCGCAGACCCAGCGAGCAGCTGCTCTGACTGTAATGCTGCGAACGGGAGTCCTGCAGCGTCTGCGGACATGGGTGATGATGAGGAGGGGGGGGGGGGATCATTTGCGTACGTGGAATGATCAATTTTATTAACTTTTTTACATTTTTATTAGTCGCAATCTGGTCTCAGTATATCTGGTAACAGTATAAATGGAATATTAATATTACAATCCACAAACGCCTTGTAGATAGGGCTGACACCTTTTGATCCATGGAAAACCAGCTGATTTAAATGCAAACAGGGTAAGTGCCTGAATCTGACTGGGTATCAGCCTCTTGCAGTTCCCTGTACAGCAGAGCACAGACAAAGACAGGGAGAAGCAGCACAAGATGCCAATCAAAAACGAACATACTGATAGGAGAAGAGAGCAGAGTGACAGAAAGACAAGCTCATCAGTGTGCTGTTTCTCCATTCAATGTCCAATCACAGGAATTCTGAAGCCCCCCCCCCCCCCCGAAAAACAAGTAAGACCAGTTTCTTGGTAAAATATGTTTAGATGCAAAGGGGAATGCTGCAAACTTTGATGTAAAGGGCAACTCTGATGTAAGGGGGTCACCAGAGCCCCCCCCTTACACAAGAGTCTCCAGAGTTCCCCTTATGTCATAGTCCTCAGAGTTCTCCTTTACATCAGAATCTGCAGGGTTCCCCCTTACAGTGCCAGGGGGACCTCTGCAGACCCTAATGTAAAGGGTAAGTCTGATGTAAAGGGGACACTGCAGTCCATGATGTAAAGGGAAACTCCGATGGACACTACAGACCGTGATGTAAAGGGGAACTCTGATGTAAGGGGGTCTCTGCTCACCAGAGCCCCCCCTTACACAAAGGAGTCTCCAGCGTTCCCCTTATGTCATAGTCCTCAGAGTTCTCCTTTATATCAGAATCTGCATGGTTCCCCCTTACAGTGCCAGGGGGACCTCTGCAGACCCTGATGTAAAGGGGAAGTCTGATGTAAGGGGGACACTGCAGACTGTGATATAAAGGGAAACTCTGATGCACACTGTGGACTGTAATGTAAAGGGGAAATATCTGATGTAAGGTGGTTTCTGGTCACCAAAGCCCCCCCCCCCTCCCTCCTTACATCACAGCAGTGTTCCACTTTACATCAGGATCCGCAGTTTTTACCTCTTACATCAGAGTCCCCCTTTATATCAGGGTCCACAGAGGTCCCCTTGCACTGTGGGGCCCTAGTGAGAAAAGGGCCTAATTCATCATAGGCAACAACTGGGGCATTGCATTGTGGGAAGGCACATACTTTGCTGAGTATCTTTTGACTGTACCTTTTCTGAGAATTCTCTGCAGACTTGATGAAAGGAGGATGGATGGATGGAGGATCCCTCACTCAATGTACTCCTGTGCCTGTGCGTTCACTTCACACTGACAGCTGCCTCTACCCGCTGCACTGATCATGTAATGTCTGCCATATGCCACCTGCCTCTGATTCCCTCTCAGCCTGAGCTCGCCCTTCCCTCAGCACTTCACAGAAAGAGGCAGGCAGTGAAGAAGAGGCTGTGAATGATATCACGCCAGCAGCAGGCAACGTAAGCCAGAGCTCTCTCTCTCCTCCAGACACGCACCCCTCTAGGAAGGGCGCCTGTAGGCACATGCCTATTCTGCCTATTGGGAAATCTGGCCTTGGGTGGGGGAGACGAGGACTGTAAGCATTACTGAAGTGCAACAGAGAAACATTAGGTCTCCTCCCCTGCTAGACAGGGCTTTGCTGTGTGGCACAACACTGTAAATCTCAGGACTGGATGGACAGAAATACAAATCCTTTGCCAAGTTAAAACAGCTCCCATTATCCCAAAGTTCAGATTTAAGTTAAATAGGAATAGCTTTAATTAAAAAAAAAACAAAAGCTATTTTGGTTTTTGACATTTTTTTTCTACAGCCAGTAAACCCCCCCCCCAGCATGTTATGCTATGTGTCCATGCACACATAGACTGGAATCAACATTTGTTGACAGGGTGCGTTTTTTGGCTGGAAACAAACAAGACTAGAGGGTTTCTAGAGGAGTTTTTTTAGCGGTAAAATGCTCTAATGCTGAAAAACATGCTAAACCGGCGTTTTTAGACTTTTTGTTACCAAATAAATAACTAAAAACCGCAAACACGGAAAAACACGGTCAAACGCTAATGCAAAACGCTGAAAAACTCACGTTTTTAAACGTGACTTTACACAGCTAACATTCCCAGCGTTATTAGAACGCCCCGTGTGCATGGAGCCTAAACGCTACTAACACGATCCTAACAGCTTTTTTTTCCCCCTCTACATGTACTGTAAAAACGCTAATTAAAACTCTACTAAAAAACTCTATTATCAGTGTTTTTGTATCCAGCCAGTTTTCCCAGCTTTTTCTGAGCTTAAGAAAAAAGCTAGTGTGCTGTGCATGGAGCCTTAATACTCTCCTCTTCTACTCCATCCCTAATTAACCCTTCACAGCCCATCCAATAATTAACCCTTCACAGCCCATCCAATAACTAACCCTTCACTGGCCATCCAATAAGTAACCCTTCACAGCCCATCCAATAATTAGCCCTTCACTGCCCTTCCAATAATTAACCCTTCACTGCCCATCCAATAATTAGCCCTTCACTGCCCATCCAATAATTAACCCTTCACAGCCCATCCAATAATTAACCCTTCACAGCCCATCCAATAATTAGCCCTTCACTGCCCATCCAATAATTAACCCTTCACAGCCCATCCAACATTTAGCCCTTCACTGCACATCCAATAATTAACCCTTCACAGCCCATCCAACAATTAGCCCTTCACAGCCCATCCAATAACTAACCCTTCACTGGCCATCCAATAAGTAACCCTTCACAGCCAATCCAATAATTAGCCCTTCACTGCCCATCCAATAATTAACCCTTCACTGCCCATCCAATAATTAGCCCTTCACAGCCCATCCAATAATTAACCCTTCACAGCCCATCCAATAATTAACCCTTCACAGCCCATCCAATAATTAACCCTTCACAGCCCATCCAATAATTAGCCCTTCACTGCCCATCCAATAATTAACCCTTCACAGCCCCATCCAACATTTAGCCCTTCACAGCCCATCCAATAATTAGCCCTTCACAGCCCATCCAATAATGAACCCTTCCCTGCCCATCCAATAATGAACCCTTCCCAGCCCATCCAATAACTAGCCCTTCCCTGCCCATCCAATAACTAGCCCTTCCCTGCCCATCCAATAACTAGCCCTTCCCTGCCCATCCAATAACTAGCCCTTCACTGCCCATCCAATAATTAACCCTTCACAGCCCATCCAATAATTAGCCCTTCACAGCCCATCCAATAATTACCCTTCACAGCCCATCCAATAATGAACCCTTCACTGCCCATCCAATAATTAACCCTTCACAGCCCATCCAGTAATTAACCCTTCACTGCCCATCCAGTAAGTAACCCTTCACAGCCCATCCAATAATGAACCCTTCACTGCCCATCCAATAATGAACCCTTCACTGCCCATCCAATAATTAACCCTTCACAGCCCATCCAATAATGAACCCTTCACAGCCCATCCAATAATTAACCCTTCACTGCCCAAGTGACTGCAGCAGGCAAACAAATCATCTAGGAAAGCCCCATATAATAATGCATTCATATATCACAATAAAATTAGCTAAAAAGTGGACTGATAGCGATAAGGTAAGAAAAAAAAAAAACGTTTCTGTATTAATTTTACAAAGACCTTTTTTTAATTCTTTTTTTTATTACATATGAGCGTAGAAAACAAAAATGGCCATATGCCTTGAAGGTGGGGGATACAACTGCCCCCCAATGTGAACTTGTAGTTCTCAAACTGTCTCTGATCTACAGAAAGGATTTTCCTAATAAAACCTCCATTAACCGTCAGACCACCCTGAGACATGATATGACCATTGTACGAGGTCTGTGGGCGGGATTTCGAAATTAATGAACGACGGTAAATGGCGCCGGCTTGATTTGAGTGTCATTTAGAGAAGATGAATATGAAAGAGGGAAAAAGAGGCGATAAGGCCCCCGGATGGCTCCTATCTTCTGGCCTCTCATGAATACAGGTGTTATGCGGAAAACACATTTGCATAGCGGTTTCTTTCGCTCTGCTGGTTAAAAAAAGACCCTCCGACGGCTGAGTGCTCGGCCTGAAATCAAAATCGGCAAATCTTTTTATTTGTGCATTTAAGAATGAAGAGAAAACGGCATGTAGGACTCCGTTCGCTCCTTTAGAGAGAGAAAAAAATATGATTTCAAATTTCAATTAAAATGAAATGAGCAAAAGAGATTATCACTCTACAGCAGGCTTGGGCTGCGGCAATAGGCCTCTTTCATAGTCATGGCAACCGGCGCTCATTGTCATGGCGACCGCGCTGTTACATGTAATTCTCTGTGTGTGAGGGAAACTGATAAAGGCCACAATCGATAGCCAATAACCAGACAACATCAACTTTCCCTGCACGGGCAGAAAACATGGACGCAGCTCGGCTGCCAGATGAAATAGGTCTATTCTGTCCTCTGATAGAAGACCGGACAGATAAGTGGATGGAAGCTGCGCTGGGCAAACTGTGAGGAGACCCGACACACAAAAAACAGACTTTTACCAACAAGGCGAGCGGCCAAGGATTGAAAGTTTACCTTCAAAAGGTTTAAATGCAATGCAAAGAATTACCACCTTGGAATCTGTCCTTATTCTGTTTGTATGGACTCTGCACAGTCCCACTTCTGTCCTGGATGTCGGGTGTAATTCTCGGTATCTCCTCTTATTCTGTATGTATGGACTCTGCACAGTCCCACTTCTGTCCTGGATGCCGGGTGTAATTCTCGGTATCTGTCCTTATTCTGTATGTATGGACTCTGCACAGTCCCACTTCTCCTGTCCTGGATGCTGGGTGTAATTCTCGGTATCTGTCCTTATTCTGTATGTATGGACTCTGCACAGTCCCACTTCTGTCCTGGATGCCGGGTGTGATTCTCGGTATCTGTCCTTATTCTGTATGTATGGACTCTGCACAGTCCCACTTCTGTGTCCTGGATGCCGGGTGTAATTCTCAGTATCTGTTCCTATTCTGTATGTATGGACTCTGCACAGTCCCACTTCTCCTGTCCTGGATGACGTGTGTAATTCTGTATGAATGGACTCTGCACAGTCCCACTTCTCCTGTCCCGGATGCCGGGTGTCATTCTCGGTATCTGTTCTTATTCTGTATGTATGGACTCTGCACAGTCCCACTACTCCTGTCCTGTATACCGGGTGTAATTCTCGGTATCTGTCCTTATTCTGTATGTATGGACTCTGCAGTCCCACTTCTCCTGCCCTGGATGCCAGGTGTCATTCTCGGTATCTGTTCTTATTATGTATGAATGGACTCTGCACAGTCCCATTTCTCCTGTCCTGTATGCCGGGTGTCATTCTCGGTATCTGTTCCTATTCTGTATGTATGGACTCTGCACAGTCCCACTTCTCCTGTCCTGTATGCCGGGTGTAATTCTCGGTATCTGTTCTTATTCTGTATGTATGGACTCTGCACAGTACCACTTCTATTGTCTCTGATGTTTTTTAGTTCATAATCTATATTCTGAACAGTTAAAAACCTGAAGGGTACTGCAATGTTAAAAGATAAGCACAAAAGGTATAAACTCATTTAGTGCAGCATTTGCATGAAAAATAGATGCAGATTTTTTTTTTTCAGTGATAAAATGGAGATGAGAATTGCCTATGAATGGGCCCGGCACTGCTCCAGATTACAATATTCAATGTAGATGTGCAGGGAATGAGCTCTTAAGCAGCACATACATGAATCAGTTTTTTTCGTTCAACCTGCTGGTTGACTAAATTGATTCCCCTATCCAGACATGGTGTTGAGGTGGATCCCCCATCCACCTCAACACCAATGTTCCCCGCTGAGCTATTGTATTCTGACAGCAGGGAGACTTCCCAGCAGTGCTGATCAAGTGGTTGTACAGAAGTCAAATTGTAGATCCCATACATACATGGATCGAAATTTGGCCGGACCCTGCTGATGCACACAAATTTCAATTCATGAATGACCGGCTTTCGCTCTGCCTCTCCACCACCCTACAACATGTCCTGTTCTCCACAAACCTGGAGCAAATAAAACCCTTATTTGATGGGACTCTTCTCTATTTTATGGGATGGGATAGTTCTCCATATTGTATGATGGGACTGATCTTTATCTTGTTTGATAGGATCGTTCTCCATCTTGTGTGATGGGATCTATCTTATGTGATGAGACCTTCCTCTACCTTGTATGGTGGGGCCATTCTGTCTTGTGGGATGGGTTTGTTCTCTATCTTGTTTGATACGAACATTCTGTATCTTGTAGGATGGGTCTGTTCTCTATTTTTTGTGATGGAAACCATTCTCTATCTTGTGTTATGTTATCGTTCTTTATATTCTCTATCTTGTATGATGGAACGTTTCTCTTTCTTTTATGATGGGACCATTCTCTATCTTGTATGATGGAACTTTTTCTCTTTCTTTTATGATAGGACCATTCTCTATGTTGTCGGATAGGTCATTTCTCAATCTTGTCTGATTGGACAGTTCTCTATATTGTCTAATTGGACCAATCTCCATCTTGTTTGGTGGGACTGTTCCCCACTTTGTATGAAAGCACTATTCTTTATCTTGTGCGATGGGACGGTTCTCTATTTTGTCTCATAGGAACGTTCTGTATCTTGTGGGATGGGTCTGTTCTCCATCTTTTATGATGGGACCATTCTCTATCTTGTTTGATGCGACCATTCTGTATCTTGTGTGATGGGAATATTCCTTATCTTGTGTGATGAGGCTGTTCTCTCTCTTGTGTTATGTTATCGTTCTTTACATTCTCTATCTTGTATGATGGAACTTTTCTCTTTCTTTTATGATAGGACCATTATCTTGTATGATGGAACTTTTCTCTTTCTTTTATGATAGGACCATTCTCTATGTTGTCGGATAAGTCATTTCTCAATCTAGTCTGATGGGACAGTTCTCTATATTGTCTAAGTGGACCAATCTCCATCTTGTTTGGTGGGACTGTTCTCCACTTTGTATGAAAGGACTATTCTTTATCTTGTGCGTTGGGACTGTTCTCTATTTTGTCTCATAGGAACATTCTGTATCTTTTGGGATGGGTCTGTTCTCCATCTTTTGTGATGGGACCATTCTCTATCTTGTGTGATGGGAATATTCCTTATCTTGTGTGATGAGGCCGTTCTCTCTCTTGTGTTACGTTATCGTTCTTTACATTCTCTATCTTGTATGATGGAACTTTTCTCTTTCTTTTATGATGGGACCATTCTCTATCTTGTATGATGGAACTTTTCTCTTTCTTTTATGATAGGACCATTCTCTATCTTGTCAGATAGGTCATTTCTCGATCTAGTCTGATGGGACAGTTCTCTATATTGTCTAATTGGACCAATCTTCATCTTGTTTGTTTGGGACTGTTCCCCAATTTGTATGATAGGACCATTATTTATCTTGTGCGATGGGACTGTTCTCTATCTTGTCTGATCTATCTTGTGTGATGGGACCGGTCTCTATCGTGCATGATGAGACTGTTCTCGATTTTGTTTCATGAGACCATTCCCTATTTTGTCTGATGGGTCCATTTTCTTTCCTGTGTGATGGGATCATTTTCTATCTTCTGTGGTGGTGTTCTCTATCTTTTGTAATGGAACCATTCTCTATTTTGAGTGTTGGGTCCGTTCTCTATCTTGTGTTGTATATTTATGTTGAGTTCATGCTCTATCTTTTGTAATGGAACAGTTCTTGTTGTTTGTGATGGGATCGTTCTATATCTTGTTAAATTAGACTGTTCTCCATTTTGTGTGATGGGACATTGCCTATCTCATGTGTTGGATTCATTCTCTATCTTTTATAATGGGATTGTTCTATATCTTGTGTGATGGGACCATTCTCTATGTTTTGTAATGGAACCATTCTCTATTTTGAGTGTTGGGTCCGTTCTCTATCTTGTGTGAGGACACCGTTCATCTTGTGTGATGGGTTTGTTATATATCAGGCTCTCTATCAGCCTCTGATCTTCTCATTTATTCAGTTTTTTTGAACAAACATCCCCCTCGCCTACTCTGCTGCACTGTAAATATTGTAACTGAATTATGCTTGTTTGTTCAGCTCATTACCACAAGCCACGATAAGCTTTTTAATTACAAAATTAGCTTCACCAAATCAATCGTACTCAGTTAATGAAGTGAGGTGGTTTGGGGAGAAGAGTAAAACTTCTATAGATTAACATTTAACTCTTCTACTCCTGGATGAAGAGATGGAGCAATATTGTGAAAAACACATCTCCACTACTAAAGGGTCTGCAGAAAAAAAACAAACCAAAAAGTCCAAACATGATTTTTTTTTGGGGGTGGGGGGGAGGGATAATAGTGGAAACACTCGTATGGAAAACATCATTTAATTGATTATTTAATGCAAATAAACTTCCAAAAGATTACCGCAGTTACATACTACGTCTTGTGTGCACTGGAATGGCGATGGTCCTTTTACTGGTGTGAATTTACCAATGGATGGGTTTGTATTGGCAGTGCCGCTGATTTTAAAAGAGAAATACAGCCAAAGGTCATGTGCATCACATGGGTGCAGTTCATTCTGCACTCCTGTGACCCATTGTTTGCCGAGAACGGGTAAAGTCTGCTTTCGGCTGACGTCACTCAGCCGGTCCAAGCTGGGGAAAGATCCTGACTTTAAAACCTTCCCGCCCGGCCTATTGTAGATTGACGGCTGGGCGGGACACTCCTTGTTGTGACTGGGCGTCATATGACGTCCTGTCAAAACGAGCCACTCATGCAGCCACGGAGAATGCACTGAAAAACAGTAAACAATTAACTATTTCAGGCATTTTGAGAGAAATAGAGAGAGCAGAAGCAGAGAGAGCAGTATGTGTTGAGATTAGCTGTGTGGTTTTTTTTTTTCTGTGGTGTTTGGATGTGTTCCAGTTCATTTCTGGGCAGAAATTATTGCAGCAGTGTCTAACATATTTTCTTTCATGCGAAACCTTAAAGTATGGTGTACCAGGTCCATCTGAGTACCGGGAAAACGCTTTGCATGCATTTTTCATGATGAAAAAAAGGCTCTGGACAGCATCTGGAAATGGAAGAGCTAAAAAAATGTTCCAAATGCAAATGTTATAAACGTAGTTACCCGCGTATACACACATTTACAATTGTTTGAAACGCTCTTGAAATCTACTCCTGAACTCAAGTTTGATGCATTCAAAAAAATGACTGTAAACTCAACTGCCTGTAAACGACGATGTGTACATGGACACATAGGAACACATTAGGGAGAGTTCAGGGGCTGCTGAAAAACACACAGAAAAGCTCCTAAAAATGAGTTTATCAGCTGCAATGTACATGGAGCCATAGGGGTTTTTCTTTTTTTACTAAAACTGGAGCACTCAGAATCTGGTGCAGTTGTGCATGGCGGCCAATCAGCTTCTAACTTCAGCTTGTTCAATTAAGCTTTGACAATAAAACCCGGGAGCCGATTGGTTTCTATGAAGAGCTAAATCACATTTTGCACTCTCCAGTTTTAGTACATAAACCCCTAAGCTCATTAAATGCCAGCAGTCTAGATTAGAACAGAAGTTGACATGACATGTACTTGCTATACTGCGCACCCCTGTACTCTTCATCTGTAAGACTCTGATATTGAATTTTTAGCACTTCAAGAGAGAAATGGGGCCCAACGTGAATAAATCTGAAAACTATTACCCAGGGGCGAACTGACCATTTGGAAACTTGGGCACTGCCCGAGGGCCCGGGGTCAGTAGGGGGCCCCATGAGATGCCCCTGGTACCTTTTTCATAGGCTTTTTTGAGTTTGGGCAAGGACACAGGGGCCCCATGATCCCCTATTGCCTGGGGGCCCCATAAGTTGTCAGTCCACCCCTGCTATTGCCTTATAGTGGCATCAACAGTCGTCTGTACAGCCACACGAGGAAGCGGCATGCGGCGTTCTCCACCAGCTGTTCAGTATTGAGGAGATTCTCACGTGAGGGAGCCAAGTGCCCTCAGCACATGATAAAAGAAGGAATAATGGCTGGCAGGCCTCCTTTATGCTAGCCGTGTCCTCCTCTCCCTAGAGACGGATCCGGCTTTTCTCTTTCGCTCACAGATGAATGACCCTGAGCATCTGTTAATGGCTCCATTTCACACTCTGGGAGATCCGTGCAGAGCTCTATCAAACCCTTCAGTCATCCATGAACGTTCTGCTATTTACTGCCACTGTATAATGCAGCCTGCGATCTGCTTCTGTCTGTCCATCCTACAAGCCACTTGTGTGCTGGGCTGTTGAACATCAGGAGCCTAGTCCATGGCACGCTGGGGTGGTGAAGCAGGATCCGGGGTTCCATGTCCAGTCCCATACCCAATGATCTGATCATCCATGGGGTCCAGGAGCAGCTCCCGTGGAGCAGACATTAGAAATGCA